CTGCCTTGAAAAGTGCAAATGAAGATTTGAAAAAAGAAAATGCCCAATTGAATGAAGATAATATAAAATTAACTGATAAAAATAATAAACTAAAAGATGAAAATGAAAAATTAAATACCTCAAACAATTTAAACAATGAAATGATAAGTGATGTAAACCAAAAAGCGAATGTTTCTTTGGAGAATTTTGGTGTCAAGTTTGAAAGAACAGAAACATTAGGAAGTAAAATGGATAAAATCATAATAGTCAGTGAAGAGTTAAAAGGGGTAATGATGGCATAATTGTATAATCATATGATTAATTTTTATAAATATGTTAGATTTTTTTTTTTTTCTGTTTTTGTTTTTTTTTTTCAACTATTAAAAAAAAATATTAATGTATGTTTTTTTTTATTTTTTATTTTTATTTTTTATTATTAATTTAATCTTTTGCTCTTTTTAATAATAAAGATATCATAAACTATAAATAAGCCTGTATTCTGTCCAATAAAAGAAAAAAAAAATGCTTGATGTATGTATTCAATTAATTAATCTAATTTATTTAATATCTCTATAATAACTAATACTTTTCTAGCTTATTGGTTTTATATGGCAATTTTCTAAAGTCTATTATATGTTTAATTGATATGGGAAATTTATATATTATATTTATCAACAATGTTATGAAAGTGTTTTTTTGACAATAATTACAATATATTTAGTAATAGTACTATATACACAAATCGAAACTTTTTTATTAGAAAGAGGGCATATAGACATTTATAAATCAATCCTTTGGATAATGATTTTTATTGTTTATTATAATGTGGGTCCCTGGCTTACATTAATGTATTTCAGAAGTATTTTTATAGATCTTTTTAATCTCGCCTATGCTGATTATAAATAAATTATATTATATAACAAATCATGTCTATCCTAAAAATATGGTTTATGTAATGAACTTCAAATATAAAGAAACAAAAATTATAAATAAATAATTCTATAATCCTAATTGAATGATAAGTTAATAAAAATTGAAAAAAATTATTATTATTGAAGTTACTCTTAATGATACAACTTTAAAAACCAAATTAAACATATGTTCTCTAACTGCTGGTATTCTTATAAACTGTTTTAATGGTTCAGGTGTATGTTTCTCGACAACATCAATAATTAAATCTTTTAACCAATCAGATGTTTCATCAATTAACTTTGAAAACCAATGATTTTTGTAGTAATTAGATTCAGTTGATAAAACATTGTTTACTATAATTAATGCATCAATATCTTTTTGTTTATCCTGAAGCATTTCTTCAACTTCATGAAATATTTTGACTCATGTTTCTTTTAGTTGTCTTAAAGATTCTAAGTAATCTGCTTTATTATCTTTCATTAGTTTAATAATCTTATTAACTTTATCGAATAACTCTTTTACTTCATCCATAATATAAAATCATATAAATACACAACTCTTTTTATATTTTTCTTACAAAACAGAATGGGTAAAGTTAATAATAATAAACTTAAACAGCTTATAAAAAAATCAAAAAACAAAGATGAATTAGTAAGAAAAATATTAGATAGTGATCCTGATTATGCTATAACAAACCTTGATAAAATAGAGCGACTTGCTGATATTATGTACAATATTGATGAATCAAAAGTAAAAAAAACATAAAAAAAGAAAAGATAAGACAGAAGAAGAGGAAGTATAAGAAAAAAAAACAACCAAGTATCAGCAATTCATAAGAGATAATTATGATAAAGTAGCATCTCGACATGAAAATAGTATTGAAACTATAAAAGCGATTGTGAAGATGTGGAAAACAAGTCCTAAAAATCCAAAGAATAGATTAGAGTTTTCAGAAACTATATAAATATCTGAGTCCTCTCATTTTTTACAAAATTTAAATGGCAGATTATTCTGAATTGTGTGAACAATATAGTAAATCCAAACTTAAAATAGATATCATAATTTCTTATTTACAAATTTTTCTTTTAGTTGCTATAATTTATACGATATTAGTATTTCATATTAAATTTGTTGATATCGATTTCAAGTTCATATCACATATCTTATCACATTCAAACATTTTAGTGCGAGAAATATTTTATAACATAGTTCTTTTCATCGATTCATTCAAACAAAGTGGCATTCAGTAAAAAACAGCAAATTGTTAAATGAAAAACTGCTCGAAAAAATACCAAACCAAAAACAATTACGAAAAAAAAATCAACCACTGCAGTTAAAAAAGAACATCTTTAGTTTCGAAAACAATCAAAAGTGTTAGAAAGTGTAACTCGTGTGGTTGTAAAAACAAAACATGCCGAAAGATAAAAAAGTAAAAGTATCAAAAAAAAATTCACCACCAAAAAAAAGGATAACCAATGCTTGTGAAATTGGATGGTGTGATGATGAAGAGAAGTTGAATATATGTGAAGCAAAAAGACCTCCTTTGTCACAAGTTGTTAGAATAGATTATGGACCTATCACACAAAAAAATCGTACCTATTACCTTGGTCCATTATATAAGAGATTCTTCGCTATAAGACTTTTTCAAACTGATTTCGAACCTTTTGCAAATTTTTATCTTCAAGATATCTCAGTATATCTAGAAATCGAAGATATTACACAAATATTTCAAATACCTGTTAGAGAAGAAAATTCAAATATTACACCTCTAATCTCCACAATGACTATCAGAAGTTATATACTAGAAATCTGTGATCTTGATTTATCAAGAAAAAAGATACAAATATTTTAGCAAGTGATATATTGTTGAAAAATGATTTTCAAGAAATAACATTTAACAAAAAAGTTAAATATTTACTCAAACATGAGTTAGAAATTGATTGTAATTTATGTCCTTTTACAAGAAATAAAATAGTAATGTGTTTAGATCTTAGTAAAATGAATGTTTGTTTGAGAACAAGCTTAAAGATAATGAATCATCTTATTTTGATAAAGGAAATTATTTATTTGTAATGTTTTTAGATTTTATCAATTTCATATTTTATTTCAAAAAAAAAACTGTCAACGATGAATTCACAACATATATTTTAGGAGAAGGATATGATTTTAATACTGGTAATTCAGGAATTTCTTCATATATAGGAAATGGTTACATCAAATCGGCATGGAGTCCTCATATAACTGGAAAAGAACTTAACTCAATGCTAACCACAGTGAGAGATTGTTATGATAAAGAAGAAGAATAGATTTTATTTTTATTTTTATTATATTAATTTTATATTTATTAATAAATAAATATTATTAAATAGTTTCCAAAATATATAAATACTCAGTTCTTTCTTTTGTTTAATAAATAAACTAAAATGAATTATGGAAAAATACATCTGTCATCTGCTTGTGTTATCGCATCTTGTAATGATCATACAAAAACTAATTCATGTATAGGTAAAAGAGACCCAGAAGCAATAGTCGATGTTTTTGAAGTGCCAGCTGTTGATGATAAAGAATTGATTTTTCAATTATTCAATGAAAGATTTCAATATTTAAGATTGTATCAAGACTCAAAATTTGATCATACTAATCTTGAATTACATGATGTTGTATTAAAATTTGAAGTAACATCATTTTACCGATTAGACATAAATGAAACTTTTCAAATTCCTCAACCTCTAGAAGAAACAAAACTGATCACTCCAGTACTATCAAATTCCTTAAAATTAACATTTTATATAGTTGAAATATGTGATAAATCTACAGCTGAACAACAGAATCCTGGAATGGGAGATATACTTCTGGAAAGAGATGTTCATGATGTTGAATTTAGGGAATATATTAATCCAATTTTAAAATATAAAAAAGAAATTACATATAGAGGATGCATGTTTCAATCACATGTTTTTGAATTTTGTTTGAACTTTAACAAAATAAAAGTATGTGTATTACCTGATCAAACTATTGCTAAAACTTTTAATCAAGGAAACTATGCACTCGTAATCTTAATTGATTACTTCGATCATTTTTATAAATTTAAAATGAAAAGAGGTGATGCAAATGCTATACTACTTGGAGATACTTTTGACAGTACTATTGGAAATTGTGGTGTCTCATTATTTTTAACTTACATTAGAATTGAATCAACCTGGAAACCTGATTTTGATTCATGTAATCCTATGGGTAATATATTTGATTTGATAAAAAAATGTTGTAAAAAGAAACCTGACCCAACAGATCAAGATAATGATGAAGTGCTTGATAATGCATAATATATTATTATTATTTTGTATTTAAATTAAAAATATATAAATAAACAAATCATTTACTATTTTTTTTTAAAAATGAAACTTTTTAAAATTCTTATTATTCTGTTACTTTTTTTAAATTTGGTTGCTGGTGCACATGTCAAAGCTAAAACTAAAACTAAATCTAGAAGTAGAGCTAAAGCTAAAGCTAAAAATCAAATACCAGTACCAAAAAATCAAATATCAGTTAATGTAAATTATTTTTCATTACCGCAATTATATACATAGAATTTTAAAAAAGAATATATGAAAGAGTATTAACAAAGAAAGGTACTATGTGTAAAAGTTATCCTAGAGGTTTGTACGTTTAAACATTTCCTCCTAAAGGTGGAAAGGCAAAATATGTACCAGTACATAAACCTAAAGGAGCAAACATAAAAAGACCAAGATCATGAAAAATCTATAAATAATGGTATTTTTTTTTGTTAAAAAAAAAATCAAAATGACTTCTGAAATATTTTTGTTGCTTCTTATTTGTACAAGAATGTACCATAACAACATGAATAACCAAACAATAATTGTTATCAATTATAATAATAAAGAGCTCTTTGGATTCATTAATATGATAAATGAATCTTTTATTAATAAATTCATTTCTTTAACTGATAAATTCAAACATTATAAAAGAACATTAATATATAATAAAGAATTTATCAACTATAATATAGATTTTAAAGAATTTGATATAGGAATAACAGACTATATTAACTTTATTTATTATTTACTTAAACAATATTTGTAATATTTATTATATTTATTTTAATAAAAAATAAAAAAAATATATATATTTTTTATATTCAATAAAAAAAAACAAAAAAAAAATAAAATATATAAAAAATTAAAATTTTTTAATGGCAATTACTTCACTACTGACTTTGACCACTCGGTTTATTTTTTGTTCAAATGTTTCATTCTTATTGAAGATTACTTCAAAGATTATTAATGCTTGTTCGATTTTATTAACCTAAATAAAAAAAAAAATAATTATATAAATAATAATAAGAATAATAATAAATAAATAAAAATACATACTAAATTTTAATCAGCTTCATTATTTTTTTCTAAAATTTCTAAATGTTTTTTGTTAAACTTTTCATAAAGCTCGTCAAAAAAATTATTAAATGATTGTTGTTGAGTAAGTCTGGTCTTGGCATTCACAATACCATTGTGAGAATAAAAAAGTGGCCATTCTTTTGAAGTCAATGCTTCTACAGAAGCATCATGTATATAAAATGCAGAAAAAGAAAATTTGGAAGGTTTAGTCAAATTTTTTCAGACATGTTTTAAACTGAACTAAAAATATTTTATAATAATTTTGATTTTTTTTTTTCTGTTTTATATAAAAAATAATCACAAAATTTAGAGTTATTGATATGTAAATCAATAACTTTAAATTAAGTAATTGATTGTTATTAACAGTCAATAACTCTAAATTAAGTAATTGATTGTTATCAACAGTCAATAACTCTAAATTAAGTGATTGATTGTTAAATAATCTCAACATTAAATTAAAAAATAATAAAAAATAATTCTATTGTTTATATTTACACAAAAAAGTAATGTAAAATTGATATATTCATTTCGTAAAATTGATGTATCTGTTCTCATAACTAAATAACATTAAATAAATTAATTGATTTCTTTATTAACCTAAATTAATAAATGAATTTTTGCTATCTAAATTTATATATTTGTTCAAATATTTAATTGACTAATGTTTAGATGGATTAATAAACCATTTACATTAAATAAATTTTGCTAATTAGATTTATTCTTAAAATAATTAGATTTATGCTTGTAATTCATTATTAAATAAATTTTTGCTATTTAGATTATGGAATAAAATTAATGTATTTGTTCTTATAACCTAAATAATATTTATAAATTAAAAATCATTAAATAAATTTTTGTTTAATAGATCATTTATATTAAAAGATTAATTTATTAAATGAATTTTTGCTATCTAGATTCATGTTAATTTAATAAAATAAAATTGATGTATTTATTTGAATCAATTATTGTTTAGATGGATTAATAGATGATTTACGTTAAATAAATTTTTGCTATCTAAATTTGTATTCATATAATAAAATTAATGTATTTGTTCAATAAATTATTGTTTAGATGAATTAATAGACCATTTACATTGAATAAATTTTTGTTATCTAAATTCATATTAATTTAAACTATAGAATAAAATTGATGTATCTGTTTGAATCAATTATTGTTTAGATAGGTTAATAGATCATTTATGTTAAATTATTTATTAGTATTTAAATTATTTTTTGAAAAATCATATAAATAAAGAAATAGAACATAATTTCTCTCTTCAACTTTAAAATGAAAGTTAAATGTAAAATAAATAATAAATACCAAAATTGTGACTATCAAAAACAAGTTATTAAACCTCCTAAACCGACTAAGGATGATGAAATATTGGAATTTTTTCTTTCAGGAGTTGCATCCATTCAGTATCAACAAAGTGATAATGTATTTGCCAGACTTAAAAAGAAGATTCAAGAAACATTCGATCTTGAAAAATTAAAAGAAAATGGAAGTTTAGATAATGAAATAAAGAATTTAAATCTAAATAAAAAACAAAAAGGTGAATTACAGATATTACGTATCAATCAAGAAAGAATGATTATCAGGTACAACGAAATCAAGAATAAAATCAAAGAAGAAACTAAAATCAATCGATTAAGAGACTTTTAATTCTAGTATATACAAATAACTGGTAGTCAAAATCTGATAGATAAATTGAAAGAAGAACTTCAAAAAATGAAAAAAGATTGATTTGATTTTTTATTAATTACATTGCAGAATTCAACAGATTTTTAAATGAAATTCAAGAAGAAACAGATTTAGAAAGACTAAAAGATTTTTGGGTAAAAGAAATCATTAAATTTAAATTCACAGATGAAGATAAACAGAAACTCAATGAGCTTAGAGAAGATCGTATCAGAGAATTAGAACAAACTCAACCTGGTACAAATGATTTCAATCGAATAAGTGAAGGAATATGAGATGAAAAATGAATTGGTTCTTTAGAAGTAGGAAGACATTGGTTCAGAGAAATACAAGATAGTAGAAATCTGACTGAACAACAGAAAGTTGCATTGAACATAAAATGTGATAAACAATTAAAATCATTATCAAATAAACAATATGATAAAATTAATGAAGAAATCCCTGAAATTGATACTGCAACACCGTTAAATGATGGATGACGTATAGATATTGCAATTCAAGAACTAAAAAATAAGAATCTTACAGAAAATAGAAATGTTGACACTTTGCAACAAAAGAGAAAAGAAAGATATCAATTAATTGAAAAAGAATCTAAAATTGCGAGATATGATAGATATGGAAGTCAAATCACAAACTTTTATAATAATAAACAAGTTGTTCTACTTTCAAATGATAATACTCTTGCTCGTAATATCGACAGGCTCAATCAAACTCTAATTGAAAATGATAGAATTAAAAATGATCTAGTCAATTTGAGAAAACACAGATACAATACTTTATTATATGATGTTATTGAAAATGAAATGAAAGAAGATAATGATAAACAATCATTCGAAGATGGAGAGAAGTACGATCTATTAATTCAAACTTTAGAACAAGATTTTCTGGATTCGCCATGCACTGTAGAAAAATTACAGGAGTTGAGGAAACAGCTGTTTTCAGAACGATGAATAAAATTAAATCGAAAAAAGAAAGATAATATAAATGATGCTTTCAACTCTCTGTTCGATGAAAAATCAAAATATAAAAATAAAGTATCATGTTTGATAAGAGAACTGCTGCTAGGTTACATTGAAAAATTCCCATACAGTGATTATACTAAGACATTACTGGATGGTGACTATTTTGATAATGAAATAAATAAATTAAATGATCAAAATGAAAAAACATTTTTCAAAACCTTCATAAAATAACTGCTGAAATCTATAAAGACAAAGAACAAGACCAATATTTTATTGATAAATCAAATAAACAATTTCATTCAATATGTGATATCAAAGATGTGGATGAATTTGTCAATAACATAATCAAGAAAAATTATCTTTACAAACAGATAAAAGAAATATTCGATCAAGAAGATGATGTGATAAATTTCAGTAAAATGGTTGGAACAAATGATAATGAACAAACTTTTTTTAAAAAAATCAGACCACTAGTAAAAAATCAAATACATTTAAATGAAATTGATAAAATCTTAGGAAAAGATGATGATCTTGAACAATCAGATAATAAAAAACAAAAACAAGCACCTAGAAGAATGAAGAATTTAAGAGAAGATATTAACATAATTATTCCTAAAACAAAACTATTCCTAATGAGACAAGGTTATCAAACATTAGATATAAAAATATGTGTTGAAGAAATTCTAAAATTATATAAAGCTATCATAATCGCCTCAGATAAAAAAATTAGTTTTTTGAGAAGCTTGTTATTAAACAATATCATTAAATATCCAGATCCATCAATATTTAACAGATATGATATAAAAACAGAAATTCTTTATTAATTCAAGAACAATAACAAAACAACATTTTCTTGATATAGCATTCAAAATCTTAATCAAAAGAGATGAAGATTTAAGATTGGATGGGAAAATAGGAAACATTTTTGATGATAATGAAGTTTAACATATTATAAGTACATCTTTTGCTGTTATAGAGATTCAATGCAAAATGAAAGAAAAAGATAATGAAATTGAAGAACTTAAAAAAAGAATAGAAGAACTTGAACAAAAACAAAATGAACTTAATGAAGCATTAAAACAAGATTCTTTAAAATTCATGCTGGTCTCATTAACTAGTTTTTTATCAAACTTTTAACATTTATTTAGACATGTGATTAAAACTCTCATAACAATTTATATTTTTATTTATATTGCGAATCATTTTTTTAATATAGATATGCAATGTATTATAATTTAATTTATTAACATATTTAATAAAATTTACAACTAAA